GCAGATGACACAGAAAGGTAACTGCAGTAACTCCTAGAGAAGATATTAAAGGAAAGTGAGAAGAAAGGCCTAACTATCAATTGTATGAAGACAGAATTTATGGTTGTCAGCAAGTGGGACAGTTTCGTCTGGATATGCCAAAATTAAGCATCTACGAAAATGTAAGTATCAGAAAATATGAAAACGAAATCCAAGGCGAATTAGGATTGGCGAAAGATGCCTTTCAAAAGATAAGTCAAGTATTAGGAAATTTAAAATTTTCGTTAGAACCAGAGAAATGAGTACTTGACCGTTATTTAATATTGGTCCTGCTCTATGTCAGCGAATGCTGGGCATTCACACAGCTGAAGAAGAGGCATGAGGTAACTGAAATGTGGTTTTACAGAAAGATGATGTAAATACCATGGACTGAACATGTCAGTAACGAGGAAGTTTTTTTTAATGGAAAATGGAGACAAAAAGGATTTGTTTATTTAGAATCAGAAAGAGGCAGTTGAAATTCCTATGGCACATAATGAGAAAAGAGGGCTTGGAGAATTCGATCCTCACCGGATTGCAAAAGAAACAGAGAGAACTAGTGTATAGCCTTCCTAGCAAGTATGTAGAGATTGGAGAAAAGTGAATGGGAGAGATAGTAAAAAGATAAAGGAGAGGAAATTGTTGATATCCATGATCGCCAACGTCCGGCACATAAAAGAAGAGAATCTCTTTACAGAGTTTGTCTATATTTCTGAGATGAGGTATTATGTACAGTATTTACATTAGTCGGACTATTGTCCTCATCTTTGTCGCCATATTTGTCACAACGTTTCGGCCGTTGTACGCTCCGGCCTTCTTCAGGTGGTTGGAATTTCGAACTGAACCCTTTATTTCGATCGCTGGGGTAGACTGTTCTAATTCCACGTGCCATGTTTGATGGATGACAGTTATCAGTTATCTCCTGCTAATTTTCCCTCTGAAAGTTCTCCACTGCCTTAACCAGGAATTGGGTCTGTCACTGGATCTAACCAACGCCTTTATCCACTGTGCCATGTGTCCTTGAGGACATCTGGGTATGAACTTCTGAGTATCATAAACCTAATGTTTTCAGCATCATTTTTACCAGTGCTCATATTGCAATCAAACATGGCACGTGGAATTAGAACAGTCTACCCCAGCGATCGAAATAAAGGGTTCAGTTCGAAATTCCAACCACCTGAAGAAGGCCGGAGCGTACAACGGCCGAAACGTTGTGACAAATATGGCGACAAAGATGAGGACAATAGCCCGACTAATGTAAATACTGAATCTCTTTACAGTTTTGCATCAAGTACCCTATCAATAATCGTCTGCTTCTTTCGTTGCAATCTCAGACGAGACTAATATCAGAAAGACAGAATCAAAGAAAATGATGAAGAATCGGTGATCGTGATACAGTGAATATCGAACGCAAAGATAAGAACGATTACCATTTGTCAATAAAGCGAAGGACACTATCAAAAATAAACTTCAGGGATGATTCCCGATAATTTAGGTTACGTTTTTTTTTTTTTAAGTGGACAATGTGTGACCATTTTAACTTGGTCGTCATATTTGCTGCTTTTAGTTTTTTTTTGTTTAATCCGTTCACCCCAAGCAAGGCGATAATGCCACTAAGACGGAAGAGATTACCGAGAATGAAAAAGAATGAGAAAACATTAGAAGGAACCGGAAACCCAATCCTTAATAGGAATCAAAGAACAAATATCTACTCCAGTCCAAACCCAAAAAACAAAAAAACAAAAACAAAAAACAACAAAAAAAGAAGAAGCAAAAACGGGAGGCGTATGAACGGAACGATAGGCAAACTGAGGGAAATAAATTAAAATAAAAGGAAAAAAAATAAATAGTAAATAAAATTTTGGAATTTCGGAAGAGACATTAGAAGTATAGAGATAGACTTTAGAAGGATCCAGAAACCAATCCTAAACAGCAAAGAAAACAGAAACCATTACTCCTGCTTAAAAAATCGGGAAAATGTGCGAACCGGGCAATAGGCGAACCTATCTACTCCTACTGGGGAAAAATAACATAAACATCAAATGGAAATAGTAAATAAATTTTAAAAGTTCAGGCGAGGACGTTAGAGGTGCATGGTTGAAGTAGACTTTGGAAGGAACCGGAAACCAATCCTGAACAGAAAACAAGGGATTAACCTCTATTCCTGTTTGATTAAGCTTGTGCTGTTGGTACTGATGACGTCTGTTTAAACTTTTGATTGCTGGTATATTAACGGTAAATGCTGTGGTTTCTGTGTTTTACCGCGGCGGTAAGGCGATGTTGGACTGTAATCTCCAGGACGCAAGATGAGGCACGATTCTATGCAAGGCCGACCGTTGCCCACGCAGTACGTCAACCCTCTCCATGACACCGATGCTGTTCAAGACAAAAGTAAGCCCCAGAAATGCTACGCGTCGCTTTAAGTATTATGAGAACCAGATTGGATTCAAAGTCGCACTACATGTGGGATTTCAGCTGCAGATTTGATCCTCTGGTAGTGTTATCTGTAATTGGATATAGCTGCAGAGGTTTGAAATTAGAATTTTACTATTTTTAGACAAACTATCCTCCCTGGTTGACAAGTTTCATTTACCCTCCCTGGTTGACAAGTTCCATTTACCCTCCCTGCTTGACAAGTTTCATTTACCCTCCCTGTATGGCAAGTTTCATTTACCCTCCCTGGTTGACAAGTTCCATTTACCCTCTGATATAATGGAATATGCATGCACCTGTGTGTCCCCCTCACTGGAATATGATTGGCTGGCGTCCGTCACAAATACCGACGGACGTGTAGGAGAGTCAGAGCCTATAACGACGCCATTGATCTACACTTCTTACCTGCGACTACCAGTCGATTACTGCTACCGTATTCTACTTGGTTATAGTAGCCAAAACCATTTAGCTATTTCGTTCAAATATATCCCTTTCTGGGACATATCAGTTGACGATGAGATTCGTAACGACCTCACATGTTAAAAGAAAAAAAATACAGTCGACAACGTGTACTAACGAAGAACGTTAGAAAAACTTGTTCGACACTTACAAAAAGTAAGTAATTTTTTCATTCATGTTTGTTTTAACGCTTATTGACGAGGAACGTTAGAAAAACTTGTGAAACGCTTGCTCCCCTCTTGTTTGGAATAAGAATTTTATTGTTTATTGAAGCGGAATTGTTTTCTGGTGAATACGTTGACAAAATGGAACAAATGGCGGAATTGGCTAAGGTGCTACAAGACACTTTACAGCAACACTTCCAATAACAGCAATTCCAACAACAGAAATTCCAACAACTACAAAAACAGGAATTACAGCAACAAGAAAGGTTTGAAAAGTTATTCGAACCCGTATTATCTAGGACAACAAATGAACCGGGGTCTAGATGGTTTTCGTCTGAAGGAATTTCAAATTCACTCTCGGAATTTAAATACGATCCTGGCAGTGGTTCAACGTTTCCGGCTTATTTTCGTAGGTTTGAAACAATATTTACGAAAAGATGCGAACAATGGTCTGACGAGGAAAAAATTACTTTATTGTTGCAGAAGTTGGGAAAAGAAGAAAATACAAAATACACGAATTTAATCCCCCCCCCCAAAGAAGCCAGAAGAAATGACATTCGGCGAAACTGGAAATTTTGTTGAAAATTTTCGATAAAAGAGAGCCTGTTTCATACTCGATACAAGTGCCTGAATATCGTTAAACAAGATGATGATGATGATTTTGTTACATACGCAGGTATGGTTAACGCACAGTGTGAAGAGTTTAATTTGAAAGAGTTGTCAAGCGACATGTTCAAGTGTCTAATTTTTGTGCAAGGTCTAACGACACCAAGCGGCAAAGAAATTAGAGCAAGAATCATCTCGATCATGGAAAGAGATCCAGAGATTACGTTAGAAAAAGTAACTGAAGAATGTCAACGAATGATAAGCATAAAAAAAGACACTACTCGGATTGAGAAGATTTCGCGAGTACAAACTGTACGACAAAAGAAGTGGATACAAAAAGAAAGAAAAATAATATGCAGTGCCTGTGGAAGACAGCATTTCAAGAAGGATTGCTACTTTAAGGATAAAAATGTTATAATTCTGGGCGTGTAGGCCATAAAAGTTCCCATTGTCGGACAAAACAGAGAAATGAAAAAAACAGTCTCAGGCAAAAGCGAACGTAGTTTTCTCTAAACACGAAATTGAGGAGGATCAAAGAAGAAAATACCTCAATGTAAAAATAAATCGGCAGACCGCAAAATTATTACTCGATTCAGGAAGTGATATCTCTGTGATAAACGAGCGAACATGGAAAAAAATCGGTTGCCCACCATTGACAAAGACAGACAAAATTGCCAGGGGGGTGTCTGGAAAAAGACTCAAATTTCAAAGTGAATTAAAATGTAACATTTCGTTCATGGGAAAAATTCACAAATCGAAAGTATATGTGCTCCCTGGTTCAGTAAACCTTTTTGGTACAGACTGGATAGTATTATTCAATTTGTGGGAATTACCAGTAAATTCTTTCTGTAACCAAGTGAACGTCAGAAAAAATTATAAGACAAAGCAAACAGAAAAATTTTTTTACAGAGTTCAAAAATGAATTCCCTCGTGTTTTTTTTCCCCCAGAAGGACTGGGTCTGTGCACAAAAACAGAAGTCAACTTTGAGATGAAAGAAAACGTGAAATCAATTTTTAAACCGAAAAGAAAAGTTCCATTTTCGGCACTAGACTCAATAAATGAGGAGTTAGAAAGGTTGGAAAAAATTGGCATAATTTCAAAAGTGGATTATTCAGATTGGGTTTATATAAAATAGAAAAACAGAAAAATCAGAGTGTGTGCTGAACGATTTTTAAAAAGACCATGCATACCCTCTTACGTCTCCGGAAGATATATTTATTAAATTGAACGGAGGTAGAGTGTTTTCAAAGTTGGACTTGTCGGAGGCTTACTTTCAGGATAAAGTCAGTGAAGAAAATTCAAAGTAACTGATGTGACACCATTTTGGAAGCAAAGAAAAGGAAGAAAAAAAAAAAGAAAGGAAAAAGAGAAAGGAAGGAAAGGCAAAGAGAGGCGAGACATAAGCTTAGATGATAAAGGAAACCACCCACGACCGGGACATTGACAATGTTATTTTGATAGTAACAAATGGTGAAAGGTTTCATTGCCATTGCAGAAATTTCTAAATAGATAAAAAAATTGACTGTGTTGTGGTGGCGGACTTATATTATCGGAAATAGATAACAGCCACTTAGTGCTGGCGAAAATCTAATTGACAAATTCCAGACCGGCTAGCTAAACTCCGGGACATTTGACAATGATATTTTGATAATGGAAAAAGATGGTGAAAATTCTGACGGCCAGTGTCGTAGGACTGCCTGACAAGGGTCAGGTGAATACAGAGCTTTGGATAGATAAGAAAAATTAACTGTGTCAGAGGGGGCAAACAATATTGTCGGGAAAGAATTTAATAGGTCGTCTGTTAACCGCACACGAAGCCAACCCTGGGTTAAGTCTTTGCCGTTTTGACAAGACATCTATGGGTGTTAGAATTCGGTTATGATAATAAAACTATGTTATCAGAAATTGGCACCAAGAATGCAAATACGGCTAGGACAATGAAACTGTTTTTTCGGGACGGAAATTGGCTGTGTTTTGCTGGACGACCACTCATTCTGATAATTGGCGAAAATCTGACTGACGAAGTCCAGATGATAATTGAGGTTATCACACCACTGGTCGCATTGTTCTGTTGGCGGCCAGAGAAGAAGAGAGAATAGAAAAGAAAAGAAGGAGAGGAAATAGAAAGAAAAAGAAAAGAAAAAAGATAATTTTTTTTTTAGCAAGATATATTTTTTTCTTAAAACAAAGCTAGCCGGATCACACCCACCCGGTTGGACGCCATTGGCCGAATGTCAACGAGGGCCAGGCGGAGGTGATCACGTGACGCAAGGGGGGAAGCCCGCCGCCGCCCATTTAGAGGATGGGTATGAGAGGATGCTACGAAGAAGTGGGGAGAACCGTTGACGCCCCTCCGAAGTATGGTGAGATATCCATATGAGAATAAGAGAAGGTGGGAGTAAGAGAAGACTTCCAAAAATGGAAAGGAGTGGAAAATTCCTGACCGAAAATAAAAGAAGTGGATATGGATTTAGAATTATCAAGGAACCTCAAACCCCGACAAAGCCCACTCCAGTTTACGTCGGCGTCCATATAAGCAAAGTCGCAGCGAGCGAAAATCAGTTCAGTTCAATTCAGTCTCCAGTTGAAGCGGGCCTCGCAGAGCTGACTTGAAAGATTCGCGCAACTTCCGAACTCATCTTCAATCCAAGAACAATTTATTTTGAAGAGCGACTTAGATTCATACCACCAAAATAAGTTTTTCGACTATCGCCTGAAGACACACCAAGAACCAATTCTTAAAGAACAGACAGATGTTAAAACTCACCTAACAAAAACAACGTGTCACAATCCATATAGCGGGTCGGTAGATAGACGCAGTCCTATGTATCCAGCAACCAGATATAAAAAGTATTGTTATCCTTTTTGATACCTTGAACTTTTTGAGTTATTATTTTATTTTCTTTTTTATACATATTTGTGTGATACCACCCTCGTTTGAACTACGGCCCCAACGACTGATTGATTTCGTCTGCTTAAGATCAATTCACAACGTGGGTAGGCGGACTGGAGATCAACGCAGTTACTTTGGTAACCAGGCGTTGGAAGCGAGTTGGGAATGACGAGGCTGATATCGAATCTAACCAAATTCCCATCCGAATCACCAAAAGGTTAGAACGTCACATTTGGGTGCCGCGACCGATACCAAGCCAGTTGGTCGTCACAGGACGAGACAACACGACTGACGCGACAGGCGGACGTCACGTTTGGAGCGGCGACACCCGAACGAAGCAGCGAGGAGCGAGCGAAGGTTGTAGAGGGACGTCACACTGACAATAAATACTCATAAAGGGATTTTAAAATTAAATCGTCTCCCTTTTGGATTGAAGGTAGCTCCAAGCCTATTCCAGCAAATAATGGACACAATGTTGGCTGGTATGGTTTATGCGATCGCATACTTAGGCGACATTTTGATTAAAAGTGAAAACGAGGCCCAGCACAAACGCATATTAGAGCAGTATTTCAGAGAATTGAGGAATACGGATTCAAGCTGAGTGCTGAAAAATGTGAGTTCTTCCTAAAGTAGATAAAATATTTAGGGCAGATAACTGACAGTAAAGGAAGGAAACCGGACCCAGAAAGGGCTGACGCTATAAAAAGTATGCCAGCACCTGATAATGTGGATAAATTCCAGGCGTTTTTGGGATTGGTAAACTATTATAGTATTTATATCCCAAAAATGTATGAAATGAGAGCCCCTTTAAACAATTTGGAAAAGGGGACAAAATGGATATGGTCGAAAGAATGCGAGGACGCCTTTAAAAATATAAAAAAACTGTTTATTAGCAGGCCTATCGTTGGCGCATTTCGACCCGAAGAAGAAAATGATTGTAGCCACAGATGCTAGTAATGACGGACTAGGCGCTGTATTGCTACATAAACTCGAGGACGGATCTACGAAGCCAGTAGCACATGCCTCAAGAACGTTACTGCCCGCGGAACGAAATTATAGACAAATTGAAATAGAGTTTGGAAATAATCTTCGCTGTAAAGAAGTTTCACAGATTCATATATGGAAGAGAATTTATTCTGCAAACAGACCACAAAACCGCTGTTAACAATTTTTGATTTAAAAACAAAAGGTATGCCAACTCACACAGCAAATCGACTACAGCGTTGGGGTATAATTCTATTGAATTACAATTTCAGAATGGAATATGTGCCTTCAAAAAAGCTAGGTCACGCCGATGGGTTGTCGAGTTTAATACCGAAATGTACGGAACCACTGAAAGAAACGGTAATAGCGGCTCTAAGAGACGAAAGTGAATTGTCGGGTCTGTTATGCAAGACCATTAGAGAATTACCGGTTACTCTAGATGATGTGAAAAAAGCAGCGGAAAACGATGATTTCATTAAGAAAATGAAAAAGCAAGTCTGGTTGAACTAGAAAACAAAAAGTAATGAGTGTGTCACCTTTTTCAATATGGGATCAGTTATTACTTTACGCAGACAGAGTTGTAATGCCGTGTACTTTACAAAAAAAAAAATTCTAAAAGAATTTCACACTGGTCATCCAGGGATTTCGCGAATGAAATCTCTAATGAAAGGTTATACGTGTTGTCCTAGGATGGACCAGCACATAGAAAATGTGGTGAAACAGTGTAAAGGATGTCATCTGGCAGCAAGGGATCCACCTGTAAAGAGTCAACCATGGCCAAAAACAGATGTCCCATGGACTCGACTGCATATCGATTATGCAGGACCCATAAATGGACTTGATTGTGGTAGACAGTTTTATTAAGTGGCCAGAAATTGTTAAGTGCAGACATCCAACTACGATAAATACGATAAATGCCCTTAGTGAAATTTTTAGTCGTTTCGGACTCCCTAAAACTTTAGTCAGCGACAACGGAACGCAGTTTACAGGAAGTGAATTCAGGAAATTCCGTACAGCATTGTCCATCGATCACGTGAAAACACCAGTTTATCATCCAAGATCAAATGGACACGCAGAAAAATTCATGGACACATTTAAACGACCCTCGAAGAAAAGTCAAGGCGTGGACACGAATGAACAGAGTATTCAGAAATTTTTGGCAGTGTACAGAATCACGCCAAACCCGAATACGACGTCAGGATTATCGCCAGCAGAGTTGATGTTTTCAAGAAGAATATGCTCTGTTTTCGACAGGCTGTTGCCTAGTCTGGCGAAGAAAATTGCGAAGAAACAAAAATGCATGACTAAAGTATATAAGCCAGGAGATGAAGTTTTCTTCAAGAACTTTAGGGTTGGAAAAGCGTATTGGGAAGAAGGTGTAATAACCAAAAGAATTGGTCAAGTCATATATGACATAGTAGGAGAAAAATTCCCTTGTAAAAGACACTGGAATCAGTTAAGACCCAGACAGACTACAAAGGACACGGAAAGTACCGAAGAGATTCCAATGGAAGTCTTATATGACGCCTTTGATATTCCCGTGCCAGTGAGTCAACATTTGCCCATGGAAGTATCCCCGACCTCAAGGCCAGAGATACCAGTGTCTCAAACGCCACCACTGCATGGAGGATTGAGGCGAAAAAAAAGTTAATCGTTTATGGCCATACCCTAAGAAGAGCAAGTATTAAACCTAAAATTCACGGTAGAATTTAGCTCAGGGGAAGGTGATATAATGGAATATGCTTACACCTGTGTTCCCCCTCACTGGAGTGTGATTGGCTGGTGTCCGTCATAAATATCGACGGACATGTAGGTGAGTCAAGTCTGAGAGCTAAGTCTATAACGACGCCCATTGGACTACGCCATTGATCTACACTTATTACCTGCGACTACGACGCGTACCAGTCGATTACTGCTACCCTATTCTACTTGGTTATAATAGCCAAAACCACTTAGCTACTTCGTTCAAATATATCCCTTTCCGGAACAAGATGACAAGATCCATTTACCCTTCCTGGATGACAAGATCCATTTACCCTCCCTGGTTGACAAGATCCATTTACCCTACCTGGATGATAAGTTCCATTTACCCGATTTAAGCTTACGTTACCAATCAACCACGCTGACCAGTCTTAACATTGCTTAACGTCGGCGATCCGACGAAAGCTAATTTATTCAACATGATATGGTTGTAAACTCAGAGCGTAATGAATCCCAAATACATCGTGTAGAAAAGTCGATTTTTTTGTTAGGAATTAAATATATCATGAGAACACTCCAGTTGTAAATTAATTTGTAGATCTTTTGGTTTTATTTTTTTTTAACAGAAGAAAGGCCGTGGTCCTAGGTAAGACGATAAACTCCGTACGACAGCAAGGCCTCTCTGATCAGGAGGTTTTGAGGAGCGTGGAACCACTTCTTAAAACCTGTTGTTCCCAGGTCCACCCTGACCCTGGGTGGTAGCACCTATTAGGGTCCCAGTTATGGACAAATAATTAACTTAACCAAACAGGGGTCAAAGCAATAT